GAATTGGATGTGTCTTTTAGAGTTTCACATGAAGGGAAGACATACATGGTCTATGCTAGCACAGGTAGTTTAAAGTGCTTTGAATGTGGAGATGTGGGACATAAAAGGTCGAAATGTCCACATAAGGCTGGTAGTAGTGGTGGTAATAATGTCACTCCTGCTGAAGATTCAGAGGCTAGTGAATCTAACTTTTATCGAGAGCAAACGATTCCCAATGTAATACCTGTTGTGATTCCTACTGTTGATTCAGAGGCAAGAAACGAATCAAACGGAGAGCAAGCGATTCAAAATGGAATTAAAGAAAGTGTTGGTAGTGTTGTTGCAGCATGTAGTAGTGTAGAACATGGAAAAAGGACTTTTGATAAGACTGTGGAACTTGAGGAAAGTCTTGGATCAGAATGTAAGGAAAGTGAGGATGTTCAGATGAAAGAAGTGGCTACCATGGAGGTGAATGAGATGTTGAGTTGTCCTGAGATGGTTAGAGAAGAAGAACTAAGGGATGAAGATACCCTTTCGGATATTTCTGAGATTGGTTCTCAAAATATAGAAGAGATGTACTCTTTGGATGAGATCAATGTTTTTTTGGACACAACATTTGGTAAAGTGGTGGAGGTGAAAGTTTTTTTTCCCAGATGTGGAAAAATTTGTTGTTTCAGTGAAAGTACTGCAGCGTACAGCGAGTTATGATGCACTAAGTAAACAAAAGAGGTTTAGATTAAAGAAACTTATTACGAAATTGAGGAAAAATAAAGGGCCGTCTCCTTTTAAAAATTAATGGCTAAAATGCACTGGGTGACACTTATGATGTGTTATCTTTCTCTCTTTCTGTCTCTGTCCACTTTATATTCTAACCTTTTTATGGAGAACTTAAGAGTGGGCTCTTTAAATATAAATGGAGGTAGAGATAGGGCTAAATTAGCAGTGATTTCTGAATTCTTAAATATAAATCGGGTTAATATTGTATTTCTGCAAGAGACTCATAGCAATGAGGAGAATGAAATTGAGTGGAATAGATGGTGGGAAGGGAAATTGGCATTAAGTCATGGGACAAACAATAGTGCGGGAGTTGCTATACTTTTAAAAAAAGGGTTGAATGTTAAAATTTTAAATACTGAAGAAATTGAAAAAGGAAGGGTATTATTACTAAAAATACAGTATGGAGAACATGTTTTTGTTCTAGTGAATGTGTATGCTCCAAATAATGGGGTGGAAAGAGTAAGAGTATTTGACCAATTAGATAAAGCACTTCACAAATTTGAAGATGATACTTGGTTAGTGTTAGGAGGGGACTGGAACTGTACTATTAATTCTGTAATTGATAGGAATGGTGAAGAGCCACATAGTCACTCTAGTAAATTTTTGTCTAATATAATGGGAAAATATGATTTAATGGATGTGTGGAGAAGAAGAAATGTTGGAATGAGACGGTATACATGGATTAAAGTTGTAGAAAATACGGTTAGTGGGGCTAGACTGGACAGGTTTTATTTGAGTAAGCTGGTGGAAAATAGGGTAATGAGTGCATCAATATTGCCGAATGGTTTTTCTGATCATCATTTGATCATATTTGATTTTAATATTAAGCAAATTTCAAGACCTAGGTATTATTGGCATTTTAATGAGAAAATGCTTAAAGACATGTCTTTTTGTGATAGTTTTAAGCTGTTTTGGGAGAAATGGAAAGAAAGAAAAAGTGATTTTGAAAACCTTAGTCAATGGTGGGATGTAGGCAAGGTGCAAATTAAAGAGTTTTGTCAAAATGTTTCTGCTTGTAATTCTACAAATGTGAAAAAAACTATACAAAGCTTGCAAAAGGAAATTGATGGTTTGGAAGAGGACTTGATAAACAATGAAAGAGCACAGGACAATGGTATGCTTTTAAGCAAGAAAAAGAAAGAACTTGGAACTTTGTTACAAGAACAAGTGAAAGGGGCACTTGTAAGATCAAGGATTTGCTCCATCAAAGACATGGATGCCCCAACTTCATATTTCTTTAACTTGGAAAAAAAGACATTTCAGTATAAACAGATGCATTATCTTCGTTGCCAAAATGGAAATATAACAACAAATCCAGCTGAAATGAGGAAGCTGGCGATGGACTTTTATTCTGTGTTGTATAGTGCTGAGGAATGTGATCCTGATAGTGCAAAAGACTTACTTAAAGATTTACCACAGTTGGAGCAAGGAAAAAGTCAAGCTTTGGATGATATTATTACATATGGAGAGTTAACAGAAGCAGTGCAGCAGTTGTCTATGGGGCGTTCTCCAGGAATAGATGGATTAACAGCTGAGTTTTATAAACATTTCTGGGGAATATTAGGGGAGGATTTTTATGAAGTTGTTCTAGAATGTTTTAAAAATAAAGTACTCCCTGTTAGTTGTAGGAGGGCTGTAATTTCACTGTTACCAAAAAAAGGAGATTTAGGATTTTTAAAGAATTGGAGGCCAGTATCCTTATTATGTTTAGATTATAAAATATTTTCAAAATCTATTGCAAATAGGCTTAAAAATGTTTTAAACTTGTTGATTCATAAAGATCAGACATATTGTATACCGAACCGATCAATAATGGACAATTTGTTTTTTTTTAAGAGATGTGATTGATTGTGGTTGTGTAAATGATTCTAATCTGGGTGTCCTGTCAATAGACCAGGAAAAAGCATTTGATAGGGTAGACCATGACTATCTTTTTAAAGTATTAAAGAGCTTTGGAATCGGTGATCAATTCATTTCTTATGTTAAATTGTTATACTCTGATGTATCAGTTTTAATCAAGGTTGGTGGAGGAATAAGTGCCCCAGTAGCAGTCACTAGAGGTATTAGGCAGGGTTGTCCTCTTTCTGGGCAATTATATAGTCTTGTAATTGAGCCTCTGTTGTGTAAATTAAGGAGAGATTTGGGTGGTTTTTCAATTACAGGTGTAAAGGAAACTTTTAAGGTGTATATGTCTGCTTATGCCGATGATGTAACCGTTTGTATTTCCGGACAAAATGATGTAACAGTTTTGGAAACAAGCATCAGGCAATATGAGATGGCTTCCTCAGCTAGAGTTAACTGGGAGAAAAGCGAGGGGTTTATTACTGGCCGGTGGAGAGACACCGGACCTCCGAAACTTCCAGGAGGACTGATCTGGGGTAGGGAGGGTATAAAAGTGTTAGGTGTGTTTTTAGGAAAGGAAAGTTTTAAATTGAAGAATTGGGAGGGAGTGCTGGAGAAGGTAGTAGCTCGATTGTCTAAATGGAAATGGCTATTACCACAATTGTCCTACAGAGGAAGAGTTCTGGTGGCAAACAATCTGGCAGCTTCCACGCTCTGGCATAAAGTCATTGTTCTGGAACCACCAAGCGAACTGCTTTGTAACATACAGAGGAAAATAGTAGACTTTTTCTGGAGTGGCGAACACTGGACTCGGGCTGCAGTGCTTTACTTACCGGTACATGAAGGAGGCCAAGGTCTGGTGGATGTAAAGAGTCGAATTGTCGCTTTCAGGCTGCAAGCAGTGCAGACACTTCTCTATCAAGAGGATTTAGCATGGACACAGACGGCATGTGCATTTCTGCAGAAGGTTGAAAGTTTTGGACTAGACAAACACTTGTTTTTATTGAAAATGGACGGGTTGAGACTGGACAGTACCTCTTCGTATTACAAATCAATGTTGCAAGCTTGGAATAAGGTTTTGAAAGTGGAGAGAAACTTGAATGAGCTTGGGGACTGGATTAATGAGGAACCATTGTTTCATAATCCGTTGATTCAGACCCGATTTTTATCATCAGTAAGCATTCGGAGAACTCTCGTAAAGAACGGAGTCACTAAACTGGGACATTTACTGGATAATGGCAGATGGAGTTCAGTGGACACTTTTAAAGAACTATCTGGTTTGTGCTCGATAAGAATTGTTTCAAAATTAAGAGATGAGATTTTTGCTGCTTTGCCGAGCAGTTACAGAAACCTTGTTGCTGGGGGGAATGTACAACAGCAGAAAGGAGGGTTTCCAAAGTTGAAAATTTTTCCTGCTGTCAGTGAAGAACAAGGAGAGCTTGAAGGATCTATACTGACTTTTAAAACTCCGCAGCTGGAAGAGTTTGAAGTTGCATCAAAAAAAGCATTGTTGTATGTTACAGTGAAAGTTATTCACATGGACTCACTCAGCCGGCAGAGTTTCTTAAAGTGGACAGAGACAATGGAGCCAGACTTCCTGGTGAGGGACAGGTGGAGAGTCCTGTATAAGCCTCCCATCGAGAAGCGGACAGCTGATCTGCAGTGGAGGCTTATCCACAGGGCGATAGCTACGAACAGACATGTAGCACACCTGAATCCGGCAGTGGGGGGGGATTGCAGTTTTTGTAGTGCTGAAGAAACCATAGAACATTTGTTCTTAAGATGTTTGAGGCTTGGAGGTCTTTTTAAGTTGCTTGATTCTTGGTTTCAGGGTTTTGGTGAGGAGTTTTCCCATAAAGTTTTTTTGGGGGGACTCAAATACAAAGTGCGTGATAGAGGTAAATTGTGTTTATTAAATTACCTAATTGGTACAGCAAAGCTTGCAATGTGGAAAACAAGGAAAAACAAGGAGTTGGAAATTGGTTCAACGGATGTAGAAATGATGTTGAAGTGTATGGTAAAAGGAAGGATAAAAATAGAATTTTCATATTATAAGCTGATCAATAATGTTGAAAGGTTTTTAAGAATTTGGGGTATAAATGAGGTTTTATGTGTTTTCGATGATGCAGATTTATTTTTTACTTTTTAATATAATTTTAAATTAATTGTTGCTGAGGTAAAATGATACAGGTAACAATAGTGTTGTAAATCCTGGATTTAATGTAAAAATAAAGATCTGTTCAACCTCTCTCTCTCTCTCTCTCTCTCTCTCTCTCTCTCTCTCTCTCTCTCTCTCTCTCTCTCTCTCTCTCTCTCTCTCTCTCTCTCTCTCTCTCTCTCTCTCTCTCTCTCTCTCTCTCTCTCGCTCTCTCTCTCTCTCTCTCTCTCTCTCTCTCTCTCAGTGTTGTGATGACTACGTGCTCCACAGCACTGGGATTGGGTATGATGCCCCTCCTGCTCTACCTGTACAGCCAGGGTTTTTCAAACCTGGTGCAGTATGTTCCTTTCACTGGCATCACTGTTGCCCTGATTATGATCCTGGTGCCCTGCGGTATTGGGGTCCTGATAAACTACAGAGTGCCCCAGTATTCTAAGATCATCGTCCAGGTGTGTGCTAATTCATGCATTGATACTTTAACAATTTCTAGATTGTAATAAGCCGAAATGAAACAAAGAATTGTGCTATATTGACAGTGCACACACTTGCATTGTTCCTACGGCCGAATAACCGCCATGCTGATCCGGAAAACAGCACCATGATGGGGTCATTCGTTTCAGGGCTCTGTGTTCCCCAGATTAATATATGGCATATAATGAACACATCAAAATCCTATGTTCCTATAAGGTCCTATGTTCCCCAGATGGTCTGTTAACACACATTAAGTGTTTGACTGTAACAGTTAGCCTATGTTCAGTTATAGTTTCATTTTCATAGACTTTTATTTTGTATTCCTTAGTTACCTGTTTCTTGTGTTTCCTTGGTTCTAGTGTCCCGCCATTATCTGTTGGAGATTCATTTAACGAGCACAGCTGTCTTCATTTAGTTAATTATCTCTATGTATGTTCTTCAGTTTTTTCAGTCCTTGTCCAGTATTGTTCGTGTTATGTATGATATGCGCTGTCTCATTCTGTTTGGAAGCTACTGACCTGAAGCATGACAGTGACACTGCTTGTATACAACAGTTGAACAAACAAGAACATTATGTGGGCAATCTTTTGTCCTCGATCACATGAAATTCCTAATCCCGTGGAGTATTATTGAAATAAAATAATTTAAGACCCATTTACACCAAGGATAACTAGAATGATAACACCTCTAGTCATCAACATAACCTCGCTTCCCTGAAAAGAGGGAATGATATGTTCCATTCCATGGCGCTATGGGGAATCGTCTCTCTCCTAGAAATACTGAAGCCTGATTGCACCCCAATGGCATTCAAGCACGCAAGTTAGGGGCGGGAATGACATTTCCTCAGAAAGTACTAAATAAGGCACTCACAAAAATCCCTGAGCATAAGTAACACAGCATGAATGCAACATCTCGTTCCCTCATTTCAGGGAACCAAGGTTACAGTAGTAACTGGGGACGTTCCCTTTCAATATTGGACTCTCAACGTTGCGTCATTCAATGCGTAGTCCAATCATGCCGTGTTACTGTGTACAATGCTCAGCATTGTGCCTAAGCACAATGTCTCACAGTAGAAATACTGCATAAAATACAACTATCATAACAAGTTGCATAGCATCATATGTCTCGCAACAGTATGCCTCTAGTGTTAACACACAGCAGTGAAGACTACCGGATCAGCATTTCAGGGGTTCAGTGTAAATGGTTTGGCTAAGCGGCGCAAGCACCAGCACCGCTTTATGACAAACTTAGTAGTGGACCTATTTGAAACACCGTGCCCGTCTCGCGCCTTTTAAAACTTGACCACCAGGTCATTCTTGCCAAACGACTGGCAGTTAACCTCGCTGTAAAACGATAACAAAGCAGCAGCATATACACTCACCTAAAGGATTATTAGGAACACCTGTTCAATTTCTCATTAATGCAATTATCTAATCAACCAATCACATGGCAGTTGCTTCAATGCATTTAGGAGTGTGGTCCTGGTCAAGACAATCTCCTGAACTCCAAACTGAATGTCAGAATGGGAAAGAAAGGTGATTTAGGCAATTTTGAGCGTGGCATGGTTGTTGGTGCCAGACGGGCCGGTCTGAGTATTTCACAATCTGCTCAGTTACTGGGATTTTCACGCACAACCATTTCAAGGGTTTACAAAGAATGGTGTGAAAAGGGAAAAACATCCAGTATGCGGCGGTCCTGTGGGCGAAAATGCCTTGTTGATGCTAGAGGTCAGAGGAGAATGGGCCGACTGATTCAAGCTGATAGAAGAGCAACTTTGACTGAAATAACCACTCGTTGCAACCAAGGTATGCAGCAAAGCATTTGTGAAGCCACAACATGCACAACCTTGAGGCGGGTGGGCTACAACAGCAGAAGACCCCACCGGGTACCACTCATCTCCACTACAAATAGGAAAAAGAGGCTACAATTTGCAAGAGCACACCAAAATTGGACAGTTGAAGACTGGAAAAATGTTGCCTGGTCTGATGAGTCTCGATTTCTGTTGAGACATTCGGATGGTAGAGTCAGAATTTGGCGTAAACAGAATGAGAACATGGATCCATCATGGCTTGTTACCACTGTGCAGGCTGGTGGTGGTGGTGTAACGGTGTGGGTGATGTACTGATGTTTTCTTGGCACACTTTAGGCCCCTTAGTGCCAATTGGGCATTGTTTAAATGCCACGGCCTACCTGAGCATTGTTTCTGACCATGTCCATCCCTTTATGGCCACCATGTACCCATCCTCTGATGGCTACTTCTAGCAGGATAATGCACCATGTCACAAAGCTCGAATCATTTCAAATTGGTTTCTTGAACATGACAATGAGTTCACTGTACTAAAATGGCCCCCACAGTCACCAGATCTCAACCCAATAGAGCATCTTTGGGATGTGGTGGAACGGGAGCTTCGTGCCCTGGATGTGCATCCCACAAATCTCCATCAACTGCAAGATGCTATCCTATCAATATGGGCCAACATTTCTAAAGAATGCTTTCAGCACCTTGTTGAATCAATGCCACGTAGAATTAAGGCAGTTCTGAAGGCGAAACGGGGTCAAATACAGTATTAGTATGGTGTTCCTTATAATCCTTTAGGTGAGTGTACTTTGGGCGTAGAACAAGGCGTGCTCCCACTCTATCTAAGCGCTCTTGCAAGAAGGAATTGAGCAATTCTCCTCCCTTGAGCTGCACTAGCGCTCAAAATCTCTCCATTAATGAGCATAGAGGCATCTTGTAGAAGGGGCCCTTGCTTCAGTAATCGTATTCAGCACGTGCTGAGGCAGAGTAACTAACGCTGGTGGGCTCTGCTGAGCGGCCAGATGTGCAGATTCCACAATTCTGGATTGGAATGCCAGATTAAACCATTTGCTTGAGAGAGGTCCTTCCTTATCTCGATGGACCGGGTTGGATATGAATATAACAGTGACCAGCTGTGGTAGCATCTATATACTTGAGCATGGAGGGCATACAGTCGCCATCCGAATACTCTTGTGTAAAAGACACAATTTACCAGTGCCATAGTTCCGAGTAGACAAATTTCGGGTCCACAGATATAGTCCAGTCCATTAGCCAACATGAGTGTGAGGAAGAGCTGGAGGAGGAGCTCTGATACTAATGCACTTTGTGTGTGAATATATATATGCATTTTATTACACTATTGAAGGCACACGGGCACTGAGCTGGTGTAAACTCACCATTGAACACATTGTGCTTCAACTAGGGGTGCTGCTGCTTCTGTCTCCGTGGCTCAGGAGGAGCAGCCGAGGGGAGGTGCGGCAGGTTGGAGGCCAGATGCTCTATCTACGTGAGGGCTATCCGAATCCGGAGAGTCCTGTCGCTCATGGCATCGCAGTGAGGGCAGTAAGAACCCAACCCGATCTCACGGCAATTCGTACAAATTTTACGAGGTGGCTAATTCGTACGAATTCATACGACCTCACTCGTACGAATTCGTACTATTTTTGCTAAATTATTTTACGAGTTGCCCAATTCGTATAAAGTCGTACGAATGACCTACCCCTGACCCCTGGGGTTTAGACAAATCGTCTATTAGCCGAATTAGGCACCTTTTACTCACTCGTACGAATTGGTCGTGAGATAGTTTTAAAGAACCCTTAATGGTGGATTCCGCCCAGGCTGAAAACGCACAACTCGTGTCTGTCGGGGAGCTTGGTGGGTCCCGCACAGATAGAACAGGTGGTTTTAATAGCCATCTTCGGTCCACCGGAACGCTCAAGCGGATCAGCGATGCGTAATCCATTTTTGGCGATGAGGAAATGTAATTCAGCGCTGCATTATAAAGGACGCGTTCCCGCCCCTAATTTGCATGCTTGAATGCCATTGGCTATTGAGATGCAACACGTTATTCCAATCAGCATTCAGTATTTCTTGGAGAAAGGTATTTCCCCATAGTGTTATAGGATGATGCCATGTGGAGAGACTGATATTGAAAGGGAACTATAAAGTTTTAATAATCGTTCTAATTCTATGCACCAAACCACAACTCTAATGACAACGGCAAAGAATCACTTTCAGAGCGATTTTTTTCCAGCTGATGAATGACAAAAACATTGACAGCCAATCAGAATCCATGCTGATTTAAAGATCCTGAGTCTTTAAAGGGGAAGAAGATATAACTGCAGTGCGTGCTTAAAATAAACAGAACGTTTGTATATACAGTGGGGAGAACAAGTATTTGATACACTGCCGATTTTGCAGGTTTTCCCACTTACAAAGCATGTAGAAGTCTGTAATTTTTATCATAGGTACTCTTCAACTGTGAGTGACAGAATCTAAAACAAAAAAACAGAAAATCACATTGTATGATTTTTAAGTAATTTATTTGCATTTTATTGCATGACATAAGTATTTGATACATCAGAAAATCAGACCTTAAAGCTGCAGTCCGCAGTTTTTCCTCTTTGTCGCCATTTCTGTTCGAAATCTGCAATTGCAGTTATTCGATGAACCTATGGGATGAACACAATGTTTGAGGAGAGTGTGCAGCTGTCAGTCACCGCGCCGGTGTCGATACTGGCATTCAGAATCACAGATTATTCTTTTTGGAAGTATGAACAACATAATAATTTTCACCGGAAAATGTCATCTGAACAAGCAAGTAACATCCACTTTTGTTCTGGTTCTGACATTGCAGTAAATCGCGCTGATTAAATCTAAAAATCACTTATCATGTCATACAAAACCGTGCAAATTATACTTTGTTCTCAAATTGTTAATGTTAACAACGTCAGCATTGCGTGACTACATGTAATATCCTTCCGATATTTATCCTTGTTTTCGCATGGGATCGGTTGCAGTCTCTTTTTTTCTGTAGCCACTCTGAAGTCCGAACGAAGTCTTTTGCATTTTACAACGGGTGAATCTCCAGTTGTCACTGGTGATTGTCGTTTGAACCATTCTGGATCCGCCATCAAATTGATAAGTTTAATTATATCAAGTGCTGTGAGAAAAGGCTATAAATCTCCAACTCCATCATCCTCACATGCAACATAGCCTACTAGCCGAGACTCCTTCTTTATGTGTACAGATGTGACGTAATGACGCAAAGACATGCTCGAATCTCCCGCAGAAATCCACCAGTACCACTGGAATTAAAAACATTATTACAAGCTTACCGCTTTGAATCGAGATAGTTTTGAACACTGGCTGGTTATGTAGTTTCTCAAATATGTATTTTGGATAATTTTTAACCCCCAAAAAGTTTTTTTTTTTTAACTTTAATATTTGGTACAGAAACCTTTGTTTGCAATTACAGAGATCATACGTTTCCTGTAGTTCTTGACCAGGTTTGCACACACTGCTGCAGGGATTTGGCCCACTCCTCCATACAGACCTTCTCCAGATCCTTCAGGTTTCGGGGCTGTCGGGGCTGTCTCCCTCCAAAGATTTTCTATTGGGTTCAGGTCTGGAGACTGGCTATGCCACTCCAGGACCTTGAGATGCTTCTTACGGAGCCACTCCTTAGTTGCCCTGGCTGTGTGTTTCGGGTCGTTGTCATGCTGGAACACCCAGCCACGACCCATCTTCAATGCTCTTACTGAGGGAAGGAGGTTGTTGGCCAAGATCTCACGATACTAACCCTATCCATCCTCCCCTCAATACGGTGCAGTCGTCCTGTCCCCTTTGCAGAAAAGCACCCCCAAAGAATAATGTTTCCACTTCCATGCTTCACGGTTGGGATGGTGTTCTTGGGGTTGTACTCATCCTTTTTTTTTTTTTTTATATGTTTTTTTTTTTTTTTTTTTTTTGTTTATTTAACAGGGACAATACACTAAGCATTGTTACACATAGACAACCGATGCTGTGTACATAGTGTACATAGGGCATATAGCATAAAGCTAGTTTGCGGCCCGCGTCTTCTTCTTCCTCCAAACACGGCGAGTGGAGTTTAGACCAAAAAGCTCTATTTTTGTCTCATCAGACCACATGACCTTCTCCCATTCCTCCTCTGGATCATCCAGATGGTCATTGGCAAGCTTCAGACGGGCCTGAACATGAGCTTGCTTGAGCAGGGCGACCTTGCGAGCGCTGCAGGATTTCAATCCATGACGGCGTAATGTGTTACTAATGGTTTTCTTTGAGACTGTGGTCCCAGCTCTCTTCAGGTCATTGCCCAGGTCCTGCCGTGTAGTTTTGGGCTGATCCCTCACCTTCCTCATGATCATTGATGCCCCACGAGGTGAGATCTTGCATGGAGCCCCAGACCGAGGGAGATTGAGCGTCATCTTGAACTTCTTCCATTTTCTAATGATTGAACCAACTGTTGTTGCCTTCTCACCAAGCTGCTTGCCTATTGTCCAGTAGCCCATCCCAGCCTTGTCTACAATTTTATCTGATGTCCTTACACAGCTCTCTGGTCTTGGCCATTGTGGAGAGGTTGGAGTCTGTTTGATTGAGTGTGTGGACAGGTGTCTTTTATACAGGTAACGGGTTCAAACAGGTGCAGTTAATACAGGTAATGAGTGGAGAACAGGAGGGCTTCTTAAAGATAAACTAACAGGTCTGTGAGAGCCGGAATTCTTACTGGTTGGTAGGTGATCAAATACTTTTGTCATGTGTAAGGCCGTCTAATTCGATCCAATGGCGGTATCCGATTAGAGGTAAAGGTCTTACGCGTGTTCCGTCTTTTGTCATGCGGCAAAGGGATTTTTAATTAAATGCAATACATTTTATCTTATGTATTAACTCGTTATTTCATCTGACTCCATAAATTAAAAGGTTTTTCAATGATATCTGTGCATCATTAAATCTACGTGAATGTTTGACTATTCCTTTTAAATCTAATGAAAATAAAGTCAAAGTCTGTTAGAATAATCAAATATAACAATTTATTATGTCAGGTAAATGTATTATTACAGTTTCATAATCAATTGAAAGATAATCAATGCAAAAAATCAAATGTTCTAAAACAAAGAGGAAAATCTTTTACCCGACATTATGAAATCTCGGCGACTCAGCATTCACGGGCTGATCTGAGATACAGAAAGGCCCTGATCCTTCCGCTGCATTTCATTATATCGCCAGACCTCATTTCATGAGTTCACAGTGGAAATGTACTGTGTTCACCCCCCAGACTTACTGGGGGCAGAAGTTGATTTACATGGTACCATTTGCTAACAGTGGTAATTTGCATTCATGAATTTACACCTTTTTGGGGGTAGGACCATAGAGACCACATTCCTTTGTGTGCCAGTTATCCCTAAACTCTTAAAAACCTTATTACCTTCTGTTTTACTTATTTGGAAATAGGACACTTGTACCAGTCGCACTTGTAGACATTTCAAATAATACTAAACACATGTATAAAACTGTATGATAGTTGTTCAAATTAAAACCATATAGATTCTTGTGTGAGTTTGGGGGATCTCTGCAAGAGTGGGGGTTGCGGGGAAGAAGTGTGTGTGTGTGAGATGTTCAAATGTTAATTTGCAGCAAGGTCCTTGGTCCAAGGTCCTTCCTCTTCAACTAGTTTTTTCAGTCTTACACATGCAATAAAATGCAAATGAATTACTTAAAAATCATACAATGTGATTTTCTGGATTTTTGTTTTAGATTCCGTCACTCACAGTTGAAGAGTACCTATGATAAAAATTACAGACTTCTAAATGCTTTGTAAGTGGGAAAACCTGCAAAATCGGCAGTGCATCAAATACTTGTTCTCCCCACTGTATATTAGCATGGTGTGGACGCTAATATTTTTATCATAATAGTTCTCATTCTTAACTGTGTTTTTGCTATGTAAATAGTTCGAAACAAAGCCAAAGCAAAACCATTGTGCATCTCCCAGTTTCAAGAGAATGATTCCTTTACGCATTTATAGACTGAAATCTGAAAAAGGCTGCCTCTGAACTATATAGGTTAAGCTTCATCCATTACGTCCAGAGACTGGGAGCTTGACATAACTTGACTCTAAAGTGAGTACCACATCCTCTAACCTTAACCCTAAACCTAATTTAGGTCAAGCTCCACCGATCCATTTGAGCATCACTTGAAAAAATCCCCAATACAAACAGACTTGAACGCGGAAACACAGACATATGCTGAATTACAGTTATTATGAGATTCCAACCTATGGCTACCAAGTGTTTATACCTTCACAGGACTCATAATTACAATTTGTAAACTCTGATTTTTTTTAAAGCTCTGACTTGTCATCTTGTAATTATGGTAATTCTTACATGTTTTGAAAAAACAAGATCACTTTATCAACATTCTATGCTGCTCGACCACACAATCTGCTGTATTGTAAAGGATGAATCCTCTGGTTACATGCCATCAGCATGACAGACAAATTATATGAATTATAAGCATATTCTTCAACTATGTTCCTGTTTTATTCCCTGTTGGCTTGTAGGTTGGGTTGATGGTGATGCTGATCTCCTGTGTTGTCATTGGTGTTCTTGCTGGTATATATGATGGAGGAAAAGTTTTCACAGTGCTATCTCCTCAACTTACAGCCACAGCTGCATTGATGCCATTGATTGGATTCACATGTGGATATATCCTGTCCACTCTGTTCAGGATGAATGCACCGTACGTATGTCCACCGGAATATGAAATTGTATTGTATCTGGCCAAGGTGTCACACTGCATTTTTCACATGTGTGATGTTCATTTGTGTCCTTGGGTCCTCAGTGGCAGACGTACTGTTTCTGTGGAGGTAGGTTGTCAGAACATCCAACTGTGTTCCACAATCCTGAAGGTGGCCTTCCCTGCTGAGCTCATTGGTCAGCTGTATTTCTTTCCTATCCTCTACGTTGTGTTCCAGATAGTCGAGGCTCTTTTTTTCATAGTCCTGTTCAGATGCATCCAGAAGCTGAGTCCATCCCAAAAAGGTACATGAAGTCCATTAAACTTGTTATGAAAGTACATTTCTGAGAAGAATGTTTATCAATTTATATAAGTATTAAAAGTGGTAGAATTCTACTTTATTATAACCTAAAGATTGATGTAGTGCTTATTTTAAAATTATTATAAGTATTATAAATTCTAAAAAGAACTGTTTTCTCTTTTCTTACACAGAGACACAAGTGCACACAGCAGTGGAAAGAGCAGCTGAAGAAACGAATGGACCCTCGGACAGTGACATCTGAGGGGACTCCATAGTGCTTATTAAGCTGAAAAAGCAATTTTAAGACAAAATATCACCATATGCTGTACGGTTTTAGTTAATAAAACTAAATTATTACTGTTTTAATTATTCTTTCTCTTTTGATTATTTTAATTTCTTCTATGTAAAGCACTTTGAATTACCATTGTGTATGAAATGTGCTATACAAATAAACTTGCCTTGCCTTAATAGAAGAGTTCATAATTGAAACTGTATAGAACTGAATGGACAGTTTTAAAATGCTTTTTGTTTACATTCTAAAATACATGATAAATTTGACTGTAGAACCTAATTGTTCTTTTGTACTGTCCACCAGTCTTAATTGAAACACTAATTGTTTTAGTGCCATAATACAATAAACTATAGTCATACCCTAATAAAACAGACTTTTTCATAATTTAGTTCTGGAGTTTTTTTTTTTTTCCTAGTATAAGTTTAAAAAGTAGCACTTTTCAGCCAGGTTATGTGTGCAGGAATTGTGTACCGATCGATAGCAGTGCATGTTGTGGGTTCATTTTCACAGTAAGAGAACACACTGTTTATTGACCTGTTATATATATATATATATAATGCCAACTAAATAAAAACATCTTCCAAATCTATTTAAATTCTAGTGAAAATTACACATTTTAAATTGTTAAATGCATTTCAAAAGATTTAAATTGTATTTAAAACATGTCCTTAATATCTATTTGTGACACGGTTATTTATAATATTTAAAAGGCTAATAATAGCATTTTCACTAAAATAAAGCAATTACAAACCTGAAAACAAAACCAAATAAAAAAGAGCTGTAAGTGCCATGTGATCAGTTACTCTGGAACTGCAGGAAAACACTGTTTAGCACCACAAGAATGAGCAGATTTCATCTTAACCACCCCAAAAGGTACATCAATTTTATTAACTTACAGAATTACATTTCTGGAGGACTGATCAGTTGTCATGAATGGTAATTCGACCAATCAGTCAATCTATCAGTCTTTTTATTTATTTTTTCTAAAGACAAAAAATTACAAATCCTAAAAAAAAAAAGTATTATACTGTAACTTTTATAATATAAAAGTTATACTGTAACTTATTATAATGAACTATTTCTCTTTTCTTACACAAAACAACAGTGACAAGAGCATCTGAAGAAACTAATAGACCCTAAACGGGGATCCCATAGAGTGAACAACAGCATCAGCCTGAAAAGTTTCTTCAAAGTGTCCAATTGTATGTGGTTGCACAACAGCACAAACGTGACTGCTTTTTCAGCTGCCTTGAAACAGGTGCTATTTTTATTTGAATATCACCATAGGCATTTAATAAATCTATTCAATACATATCTACGACATAAAACAAAATATGCAGAGAACAAATGACATCAGGAGTCTGATGCTTAATCTTTTTGAACACCTTTCAAGTGTGAATTTTTAAACAAAGTTGCAACTTGCAATAAATACTTCTTGTTAACAATAAATGTGTACTGTAGAGTTAACTTTTTTTAACAAACAATATTTATGTCTAACGTGTAACGTGTTTTTGAGCTTTCAGATGAACGACTGACCCCATTATTAACAGCTTTTTGGGGAATTTATTATTCTTTTTTTTTTACAGTGCTACGCAAACTTTATAAATGTTCAAAAACATTTAATTAATATTTATATCATGGTACAGAAAGGTGACTCATATTCCAAATAAATGAAAAACATGCATCAAAACATATCCAGACAAAGCCGGACATTGATTCAACATGATCTGAAAAAAAATTAGACAGTTTACAACACATCAAAAATATAGCATATTAAAATCTCATCCTCTTTTGTGAAAAAAAGAATGAGAAAATGCATGGGACTAAAAAAAAGCTCAATTGAATCGTTCAAACAAATGCACCATTAAAATGTGTATACACTGCGAAATCAAATGCATACATATGAAAAAGGCTGGTATATAAAACAGGGATTCACAAATGTGTAACAAGATCTCTTTATTCATGCAGCGTGAAGGGAACTCAGATAATTCTTTGACTTCTTTCATTATAATTCAAGCATCTACATTACAAACAATTTGCATTATTCATAAAACCCTAATTACAAATCTTCAGAACACAACAAAGGGCCAAACTTACTGAAAACAATCATATTTACTGGTTTGTCCATAAATATGTTTATACAATTAAAGAATCTCGACAGAAATCAAACCTCACTCTGTATGTAGTGATAAAAAACAATCACAAAAAACCCATTTGAGACATGAACTTAAAAACCCCCCCACCAAAAAATAGCAGTATAGTCCTGATTTAAATGGACTCTCCTGTCAAATACCTTTAAATTAGCAACAGAGCTGTGAAAACACTGGCATGGAGAGGCCTAAATTGACCAAAGGTGGGACAATATTGCTGCGCTAAACTTCATCAGCCGCTTCCCTCAGCACGCAGTGCAGCAGCAGCATCTAATGACGGCTGTCAGCGGACCGGGAACGAGACGGCGGGGGGCGCTGCGCTGGGGTCGGCGGGGATGCGGATTCAGCACGCGCTGCTTCCTTGGGCCGCACAGGAGAGGGACTGGCTGAACGGGACCGACTTCTTGAGTGGTTATGTGATTTGGGGCTGTGGGAACGGGAGCGGCTACGAGAACGTGATGCGGAACGCCCTCGTGAACGAGAACGAGATCGAGATGAGCTATTTGAGCGAGACCGAGTTCTGGATTTACAGGACAAGAGAAAGCAAGAGAAAAATCTATTCATTAATCTATCTACACACATATTGTACTATGAGTTTGGGGTTGATGAGATTTTTTTATCTCTTGTTCTCCCCAATGCTAATGCTAATCAAAAATACAACATTTTATTTATTCCTGTTATGGCAAAGCTGAATTTTCAGCAACCATTACTCCAGTCTTCAGTGTCACATGTCAGGATTTGGTGCTTTAAGAAATATTTCTTTTATAATCACTGATTTTCTGTAAGCCGTGATACATTTTTTCATGTTTCTTTGACGAATAGAAAATTCAAAAGAAGAGCATTTATTTGAAATAGAAATCGTCTTGGTTACGGATGTAACCCTCGTTCCCTGAGTAGGGAACGGAGACGTTCCGTCGGATGACGACGAATGGGGTTTCGCTTAGAAAGCCTATCGACTTCGAGTATACAAAACGAGCCAATGGCAAACAAATGCCATGGGTCTGCGGAATTTGCATGGCGCAACTCCGCCCCACCTCGTGGGAATAAAAGGAGAAAGCCGGCAATATGCAGATATGTTTCTTCGCTGAGGAGCCAAGACTGAACTCGGCTGTTCCAGCGGTACAGCGGAAGTGGCAGGCAGACGGAACGTCTCCGTTCCCTACTCAGGGAACGAGGGTTACATCCGTAACCGAGACGTTCCCTTTCGTTGTCACTCCGAGTTCCGTCGGATGACGACGAATGGGGATACCAGTCTAATCACGCCACTTCTCAGCTGTCTTCCAGTGCCCTGCGTAAATCTGAGATCCCTGTCGTGAGAACAGCACGGACGAAGGACTCCTATTTAACACAGGAATACCAAGGTACACTGGGGAGCATATCCCAGATCTTTTAGGGAAGTATGCAATTACTGCCAACCCAGAGGGGGGGACTTAAAAATACACATATGACCCGAGGGATGCATATGGGGAATCACTGGGGTGTCCAGCCGCAGGTGGAATATTTCAACCCCAGGGGTGGCAAGGTGGCTTGCCGAGGGAAAGACACATGCTCAGAGAGGCTTACAGTGGAAATACACATGTGGGGGTAGCTCAGAGGAGGTACCATGCACACGGAAGGCACCTAGCCGACGCGCAGGCAATAGACACTGGCGCCAGCGTCAGCAGTGCTGGAGGAGCTCAGGGCTTTCGGGAAAGCTCACCTGAGGAGAATATCGCACGTATCCAGTCCGAGGAGTGGCATGGCGAGCAAGCGAAGACACCTAACGGATCCCATGTTAGCTTGAAAAAGACAGTACACGGGAGGAGACTGGCTCCAGTCGGAGATTGTAAAATCTGGCGAATGTGTTAGGTGTCGCCCAGCCTGCAGCTCTGCAGATGTCTGTTAGCGAGGCGCCATGCGCTAAAGCCCAAGAGGACGCGACACTCCGGGTGGAGTGGGCGGTCACACCAAGGGGGCACGGTCGACCTTGCTGCTGGTATGCCAAAGCAATGGCGTCCACTATCCAGTGAGACAACCTTTGCTTGGAGAGAGCCTTTCCCTTCAGCTTCCCACCATAACAGACAAAGAGCTGGTCTGAGGTCCTGAAACACTGCGTTCTGTCTACATAGATGCGAAGAGCACGTACTGGACAGAGCAGTGCCAAGGCTGGGTCTGCCTCCTCCGGGGGCAGCGCTTGCAGGTTCACCACCTGGTCCCGGAAGGGAGTGGTAGGAACCTTGGGCACATATCCAGGCCGGGGTCTCAGGATCACGTGAGAGTCACCCGGCCCGAATTCCAAGCACGCTTCGTCAACGGAGAATGCGTGCAGGTCCCCTACCCTCTTGATGGAGGCCAATGCAGTCAGAAGCGCCGTCTTCATTGACAGGAAGTTAAGCTCGACTGACTGCAAAGGCTCAAAGGGAGCGCTGCGCAGGGCAGTTAAGACCACTGCGAGGTCCCAAGAGGGTACGAGAGGAGAGCGAGGAGGATTCAGTCTCCTCGCTCCCCTCAGGAACCTGATGATCAGGTCATGCTTCCCCACAGACTTACCTTCTATCGGGTCATGATGTGCGGCAATAGCGGCGACATAGACCTTGAGGGTGGAGGGAGACAGCCTTCGCTCCAACCCCTCTTGAAGAAAGGAAAGCAGGACACTGACCGAACATCTCCGGGGGTCTTCTCGGTGAGAAGAGCACCAGTTGACGAAGAGGTTCCACTTCAACGCATAGACGTGTCTCGTGGACGACGCTCTAGCGTAAGTGATGGTAGCCACCACCGCTGGTGGTAGGGTACTCAAACCTGCCTCGTCCCGTCCAGGAGCCACACGTGGAGGTTCCAAAGATCGGGACGAGGGTGCCATAGGGTGCCCCATCCCTGAGAAAGGAGGTCCTTCCTCAG